TATATTGTGCATTTTAGCTTATATTACCACCTTCAAATACTTATTCATTCAAATTCATCCTGCTTACACCATTATATTCTATATATGTTTACTTTCTCTCTTTAGGACATTGTAAATATTATAATTGCATTTTCACTTGTTGGTACTTTTTTGTGTACCCTTATTCCATACTTTTAGTATTTCTTATTTGTTTGTTCTTTGATTCTTTTTAACGTCTTCTCATCCTAAGCATTTCATTGTACTGTTAACCCTGTGTTAACCTTGCATATGACAAATAAACACAATTAAGAATAGACCAGTCTAGACATGACAAATGCATGAACCTGTTTTTCTGCATAATTTTTACATAAGATGTTTCTAATTTTAACAATATTACACAGGTGGAAAAAGGCGGTTCTAGTAACATTTTTCAATTTCGTTCCACCTCATGTACCACATGTGATGTGAATAACATTACAGTCATCTTGAACCTTGTAACACTTGCTCAAGATCAGGTAGTCATGTGGTTACGATCATAGCTATGAATAATTGATTTCAACTCTGCTTTTGCATTACTGTTATTATTATTACTGATATTAGTTACAAATTATGACACAGTGTAATATGTCATGTTTCTATTCATCCAAGGTCAGTTTTATCTCTTTTTGAGGCCTAATTTAAACTATTAGTTTTGTTCTGATACGTAAAGGTTGTTGTATTTTTCTTCTTAAAATAAAAAACATTTAAATATATTTTTGTAAAGTTTGAACTATTGCGTCCTTAAATATAAGACTAATTTGAAATCATAACTTATTCTACAATTCAAAATAATACTATTTTACCTAAGCTTTTTCTATTACATAGGCTTTTTCTATTCCATAGACTCCTGATGCTGTGTTAATGTACTTTTTATGCAACATGTTTGTGTCGTGGTATTCATACAAACGCCACAAAAGCTTTTAAATAATTTTGACCTACTTCTGCGCTGCTGTAATGGAGCGGCATATTTGCGTACGTGCGCACTACTTTCCGAGAGAAAACGTGCGCTACGTCGTATGAAGATTTGAGGTTGTAGTTCGGTCGCGCGAGGAGGAAAAAAAAAAATTAAGATGGCGTCTCGTCAAAGAAATACGGGATGGTCTGAGAAGAGTGATGATCGGAAAATGATTTATCACGCCACAACTGAGAAAGTTTAAGATGCTTGCTGAGTGTTGAGCGAACTTCAGCCATTAATGCGTTGAACGTGAGAGTTTAACAGCGTCTACATGTAGACCCGGAGCTGAAATCGGTCAACTTTGCTAGCAGCGGTAGCTGGCCGACGTTAACTACCAGTCCTTACAACAACAGAGGAAGGAGAGCGACCACAGTCCCTATCACACCCCGGGACATCGAGGTGTCTTCGGGTTAGTCACGGGAATTTAGCCAGGCAGAGGGGTCCTCAAACAACTGATTTATATATATATATAACGACTACTTAACTGGTTGTAAATATTTACTTTTAATGGCGTAAGGTGGGTTAGCGCCACATGTTGGGTTTGTTTAATGCTAACAAACGGACGTCATTCATCTTCAAACCGTGGGAGTCGATGGGACGCTGCTGGGGGAAAAATGTGGAGGCCTAGATGCTAACGTTCGCTTTTATTGCCTCCCATGCCTTTAAAATGGACATTAATAGCGTTTGTTATTACCACTAGAGACAACATTATTCAGCTACAGAGGATTTGAGTTGAGATATTTGTCTTTTTAAATTGATGTCCAGTCAGTGTCACGGTTGGTCGCTAAGGTAAGGTCTACTACGTCAGTTCTCACAAGTTCACGTGCTAACGCTGTCAGCTAGTAAAATAATGTTAAATAAAGCTGTTGTGTATCGATATCTTGACTAGACTGTTTGGCATCTACACTTTAAGAGCAGTTCTTGGTATTTTTGTTAGCCAAGCCCTGCCTACAGTAGTGATGCCTCTGTGGCCTTTAACACCTCAGGGTTCATTGCCTGAGCGCCATTGTTTGTCTGAAGGCCCGTGATAGAAAACATAAAAACTAATGGATTACACGCATATTATTCACTTCCTCTTATCAAATTGTGATTATTTTAATATAGTCTATGTAAGATTGTCAAATATTATACACCTTAGGTCAGTGTAACCGTGCATTAAAGTACTGCCGTCACTTCTGCATATAACCCATTTGCTTTGTGGTGGACTGAAACGGATAAAATATTAGTTTCTCTTGAGATTAATGAGTCATTGTTCACGTTTGACACGAAGGTACTGCGATTATAGCCGTGGTTTTCTTTGAGAACTGTAGCTAAAATGGGCCTACAGTGGTTTAGTTCTGTTGTGTTCAGCCTCGTGCTAATCCATGAAATTAAAGGCAAAATCTATATAATCTGCTGAATGTACACACTTTAGTTGGTGCCATTAAACATTAGTTAAGAGGATGTGAACATGGTGGAAGTTCCTAGCAGTCTGTTTATTATTTATGTTTATTTTATACAGCTGAAACAGTTGTGCTATGCAAAAATAATGGTCAGCACATAAGTCTTATCAGGCTAGGTAATGTTTGTGACAGGGCTTCAGACATAATTTAAACCCTTTCCTGGGTCCTCACCACAGTACTGGTTTGTTTTGTTGTCTGTGGTGGGGGAGGGGATGACTGACGACAAATAAGCTCTTCTGGGATTTCCTAAAAGGGACTATCCTGTCAACTTTTTATGAGTAAGATATTTAGAGGAAGTGACTGACTCAGTTATTTAAATAAGACAGTAAAGTGAGAAAGTAATTAAAAAAAAAACTAAAATAAAGTAACACGTTGTAGAAGCATTGTATTATGCATATGACTTTTGTTTGTGTGTATCTGTTTTTCTTACCAAAAATTAGTATCTAGTGGCAGATTTAAGTCGTTTTCACACCTGATAGTCCGGTAGACTCTGTTTGATTGGGGACCAACATTCAGAAGATTTGTTTACATTTTCAACTGGTGCGGTTCGCATTCACACTGCACTCGCCTGTGGTGGCGCTGCATCAAGAACTACTGAAGGAAACAACACGAAAACCTCTGAAGAAGACTCTTCTTCTTCTGGAAATTAAAACAAAAATGGAATGGCATCAAATTTTAACGGTTTTAGGATTTCTGTTTTGTCTATGCCAAACACATTTTTCAAAAATGGACTCGACATGAGCAGAAGATGAGGCAGGAAACCATGGAGAATGTTGTTCTTCACACAAGGCGGCTGAGACGGCTGTGTGTGAGGTATGAGAAATGTGCATTTTAGGGATGCATGATATTGGATTTTTGGCTGATATCCAATATGCCGATATGTTAAAACTTATTTGTCCGATAACCGATGCTGATATTTTATATACTTTGTCAGAACATAGCCCTCTTATTTAGGCTTATTTGCTACAAAAATTGTGTAACAGCTGTAAGAGCTATGGTATGCATAGTACTTTAACTTACATTAAATGAAAAGTGTTAAATATTGTTTATTAGCGTTAGTCAGCTGTGATGCTGTCTCACTTGTGGAGACTTGTTCCAGGTTCCTATAGCTGCAGTGTGGGATCCTCTGCACTCTTGTGCATGAAGGACAGACTTTTTAAGTTCAAAATTTTTGTCTATACTTTGTGCCGTAAGACTAATCATGCTAACGGGGCTAACACGACGTCCAAATGTCTGTGGTAAAACTCACCCAAGTGCTATCAGCTATTAGCTTCTCATTGACGTCGGAAATGACTTTTTGTAACTCGGGTAAGGTTACGTCAGAAAAATATCTCCGACTGGGGACGATGTTGCGAGGCTCAATGTTGTCCAGAAATTTTGGAAATCTGACATCAACGAAAAAAGAAACTTCCACACCGCCAACATTTTTAATTTTCCTCTCCGCCGTGAGATCAGGTAGGCGCACTTGACATCATCGCGTTGTGTTGGTGCTGCAGGCGTCCTTTTCACTGGGTTGTCATACAAAAACAGCGTCTTTTATATCTGTGAGTTATTTTGATGGCATGGCCAATGTCCGATATTGAACTTTAATGCTAATATCAGCTGATACCTAGGGCTGATCGGTATGGACCTAAATGAATATCTCTATGTTTAAGATAAATTGCGATATACGATATATATCGATATTTATTTTTCTTTCCATAAAGTAATAACAAAAATATATTTCTGAATCAAAGCTTTGTCCCAGTTGTCACACAGGCACATTTATTAACAACAGCTGTAACTACAGAGAGGGAGGAGGCCCAGAGGAAGACCCAGAACACGCTGGAGGGACTATGTTTCTCGGCTGGCCTGAGAACGCCTCGTGATTCCCCCGGAGGAGCTGGATCAAGTGGCTGGGGAGAGGGAAGTCTGGGCCTCCCTACTTAGGCTGCTACCCCCGCGACCCGACCCCGGATAAGCGGAAGAAAATGGATGGATGGATGTAACTGTACAAAATAAATGTCTAAAAAAATAAACTATTTACATATATTAAAGTTTGTTTTTTAGGCACTTATTTACATATACAAGTACAAGTTTCAAGACATTTAATAATGTCCATAGAAAATTCAAAGCAAATATGTTCTTGTTTTTAGTATTTCACCCTGTTTTAAGGCATCCTGATTTATTAATAAATCTGGTCCTATTCTAATGAAGTCTATTCATTCAACCTTTATTAACACAGCTCTGACTCTGAAAGTGCAGAGCTCAGTTGGAGGTTTATTTTTCTCTCTGGACATGGACATAGCCTTGTTGTTCAAGCTTGTTTGTGCTTTACTAGTTTACTGCTGTGTTTAAATTCCAGAAGAACACACAGCAAATAAATCACCCTAAACTGGATATTTGTCTCCATGTTTTTTAATGAGAAGACAACTTCATACCTTGCCACTGTAAGGGTGCACCAGACCTGTTGTTCCGAACTCTAGCCCGTTTACCTAGGAAGTCCAGTTTGTTTGGGGAGGTGTGAACGCACCATTGAACTCTTGTCACGCAACTAAAAGGCGAACTCTGGCCCAGGCTAAAACCTAGGTCTTGGTCCGGTAGAAGAAAACTCTAGCGTGGTTCGAGTACAGTGTGAATGCAACCAGACCGGGAACCGCTCCGCAAGCAGGAAGTGGATTACAATGCAGGGCAAACAAACACACATTTCTCTTTACCTCACACGGAGCCGTTGGGCGCCTTGTGTGAAAAACATTCTCTATGGTCTTTTGCCTCATCTTCCGCTCATGCTGAGTCCATTGTTGAAAAATGACAAAATAGAACTGAAACTGCTAAAATTTGACACCACTCTATTTTTGTTTTTATTTTCAGAAGAACTACACAAAAACGTTCTTCAAACGTTTTTGTGTAGTTTCTGTCAGTAGTTCTTGGTGCAGCGCCACCAAAGGCAAGTTTGGGAACTGGTTGGCTCGACTGCACAGTGTAGTGTGAATGCAAACCACACCAGCTCAAATGTAAACAAAATGTTATTAATATTGGTCCCCAACCGAACCGAGTCTACAGGACTATCAGATGTGAAAACAACCTAAACCAGTTAATTTCCTGGAGAACACCAAACCTCTGCTTTGTAGCAGCTACCCAGTCATTTACTCTGTTGTAGTCAGTGAGGGAAAAGTCCACTTCACCACTTGCTCTTGCTGAGAGTGAACGCTTTTCCCCATCCCCTCCCTCTCCGCTTTGCTTTGCTGCTCTGTCTGTGAAACTGCTGAGCCTCTCTTGCATTTCTTCCGAACCATAATTATGGACTTTTTTTGATCAGTTGGTCCCTCAACTCAATTTACAACATTTCTTCGAAGAGGAGACGGGCTTTAGGCGAGCCGATTTGCCCTGTTGGCACGCACGCAGCTGGATATCTCATCGACTTGGAAGACTTGATGATGTCTCTATCTCTGCTGCCATTTGTGGATTTTAAGGAGGCATATTTAATTAGATTTACAATAACTGGTTCCTGCTTTTTGGATTCGTCTGGTTGCTGGTTTTATCAACAATCAAGGAAGTCGTCTGCAGCATATTTGGACCTGATCACGTTGCTTGCCTTTATGATGGCTTGGTTTGTGCCTCGCGTACCCAGACTCAAATGCTTTGGGCAGACTGGATTAGATCTTTGGGATTTTACTCAGTCACGTTCCATCGGTGTGGCCATGTAATTTGGACATTTCGGAACCGAGTGGACCAACACAGACTCAAGGTAGATGTCATTAAATTTTGCCTGTCCCCAAAACTACTGTAGGTTGATCTAAATTTCCCTTGGCTGGCCTTGAAGGCCATCTTATCTGAATTTGCCTGGAGAACATGTGATCTGACGCTCACCACCCCCTCCCTGAGGAATTTCCAACATAACCAGATGAAACCAGCTGAATAAACTTTGTGTCATCATTTCAGGACTCTTGGATTCTCATAGTCGTTATTCTTGGCCATTCCTCGACATACCTCCAAAATATTTACGGATCTCACCAGAGGACACTGGCTGATTATTACATCCTTATCAGAACTCTTTACAGTGACCTCGAGAGCATCTATGAACATGCTCACCGCTCTCGCCGTTTCCCCTCTGCAGAATGTCTATGTCACTATGTGCTTGTTTGTGCGAGGTGTTTTTTAAATATCAGTTTGTTTGTTTTTCTCAGGCAGGACAAAAAAGTCTGATAGGAATTTTTTCGCCTCCAATTTTAACACGTCTCCAGTTTCATTACTTTTTGTCTGTCTAAACAGATCTCACTTGTAAATGAGTCTTCTAGGCTCAATGTGACTTATCTGTCTAAATAAAGGTTGAATGAAAAGGAGGGATGGCATTAAGGTGCAGACGGGGAGGAAAAACAGCCAGATTTATAACTGTAGGTAGAGTATAAGACTATATCGTTTTATATCGATATAGTCTCATTTTATATCGTTAATTAAATTATATCAATATTTTAAAATATCGACATAACGCCCAACCCTACCGATACCATGCCTGTAATATCGTTCATCCCTAGCACATTTGTTTTGGTTGTATTCACACTAAGTGCCCTGCGCTGTAGTCCACTTCCTGCTTTTGGAGTGATCTCCAGTCCGCTTGCATTCACAATGCATTTGAACTGCGCTAGAGTTCACTTCAACCGAACCAAGACCTAGGTATGTAGACTTCACTTTTTTGGTCAGAGTACCTGTTTAGTCCACTTTACCTGGACCCTATTTAGTCTGCTTTAATCAAACTCTAGTCCATTTGCCTAGAAAGTCTGGTTCGTTTGGGGAAGTGTGAATGCGCAATCAAACTCTGATGCGGACCAAATAAAGTGAACTCTGATCCGCCTAAACACCTAGGTCTCTGTTCGGTTGAAGTGAACTCGAATGCATTGTGTTTGCAAGCAGAACGGAGACCACTCCAAAAGCAGGAAGTGGACTACAGCACAGGACACTCTGTGAAAATACAACAAAAACAAATGCGCATTTCTCATAACTCACACGGTGCCATCTCAGCTGCCTTGTGTGAAAAATAACTTTCTCCATGGTCTTCTGCCTCATCTTCTGCTCATGTTGAGTCCATTGTTGAAAAATGACAAAATAGAACTAAAAGTGCTAAAATTTGACACCACTGCATTTTTGTTTTTATTTCCAGAAGAAGTGTCGTCTTCAAAGGTTTTTGTGTCATTTCCTTCAGTAGTTTTTGTGCAGCTCCACCACAGGCGGGGGGGGGGGGGGGGGGGGGGGCACAGGTTGGCTTGACTTACTCAGTGCAGTGTGAATAATGCAAATGAAAATGTAAACAAATGTTCTGAATTTTGGTCCCCAGTCGAACTGAATCTACCAGACTATCGGGTGTGAAAACGACCTTAGGTCCCGTCCACACTGAAAGGGGGTTTTGTGAACAAGTACAAGGTTTAGTTATTTTTACTTTTGTTGTTTTGAGTTGCATGTCCTCATAGAAACTATTTTTTAGGATCCCCAACTTGATTTATTTTGACACCAGGTTCCAGAGTGGAAAAAAACTAAAAAAAAAATACCACCCTTTTGTTTTTGAGTGGACAGCCGATTCAGACTTTTGAAAATGTCGTCATATATCCACCTCCAGCATAATCCACAACTCCAACCCCTGACGGATGTAAAAACAATCACATATTGCATGTTTTTGTTCACGTTACAGACACTCGTTGCTCAATTACAGATACTATAAGATAAGATAGCACCAAATAATGTAAGGCCCAAAATAATTTAACACATTACTGACAATTTTTTTGTCAGTGATACTAAAGCAAATAGTGCAGAGAAAGATCTACAATACACTGTACATCAAGTACACATAAAATGCAATGAGAAATAGGAATAGTTTTAAAAGATTGACACGTGTGTGTGTGTGTGTGTGTGTGTGCGTGCGTGTGTGTGTAATTAGCCTGCTATGAGGAAAACCCTTCAGTATATCCCTTGGTGAATGTTTCTCCATCATCCATTGTCCACATATTTGATGTGACACAACTGTCAGGAGTAGTTGAACGTGACATAAATGAGACATTTCACTTTGTTGTAAGTCCACAAAAAGGATTAAGTTTTTACTTTTGTATTTGGTACTCTTGTCTTTTTCTTCTCATGCTTAAAGTTGGAGCTTTGTTTCCTTCTTTTGGTATGTTCATTTTATTTTTGCAGCATTATAGCTCTATACAGACCTTACGTAGTAGCTAAATCTGTTAGAAATAGTAAGGCGTTTGCGAGCACGGGTTGTAGTAGCTCTGTGGTCAGTGCCGCGGTGTTGTCCTGAGACTGCAGGTTGTGTCAGGGAGGACATCTGGTGTAAAACAGTTTGAGAAATATTTTGTTCATAGTTCACTCACTGTGTTGATCCATGAAGAAGGAATTAGACAAATGAATAAAAACAGTCATGTTTACAAGGATATTTTTAGTAACATTAAAAAATAGATTATTTTGTAAAAACAACTTTCCTGTGTGGACAGGGCCTTATTTGTATTGTTTCAGTGAAATATTTGCTGAATGTTATGTAAGTAAAGTTATCAGTGTCTTATTTTCACATTTAAAGGCCTTGACATTAATTTATATATCATGGCTAAAACTAATTTGCCTTACAATTACAATATTTTTCTAAAGAAGAATCATTTGCAAAAATGTGTATAAACAATTCTCCTAGTTTTGTTCAAAGATTCAAGGTTCTTTATTTGTCATTCCACCACATGTGGTACATGTGGTGGAACAAAGTTGTGTACTGGTATACAGGGTCCAAAAAATGACTTTAAGATCTGCATTCTGCCGAGCATAGATTTGAGTTCATTGCTGATCGCTTCTGTAGTCCGTGGCAACTCTTCTCTCATTCTCATCAGTTCGGTTCGGCTACAATTCACACGCATAAATCGTGCAGAGTCAGGCTCGGAGTCTATTTCAAAATTCATACAAACTGGGATCGCACCGGGAGCCTGTGAAGCTGCGGCTCCCGAGAGCGCAGCCATCTTGTGTGTTTAACATGGCCATTAGCCTGTGGGCTAGAGTTGTTTAATTTGTTTGAATTAGTTTTTTCCTTTTATCAGGGAAATGGAAGCAGAAGAGTTTATTCCTCCTCCGGAGTGTCCCGTTTTTGAGCCGTCATGGGAGGAGTTTCAGGATCCCTTGGGCTACATCGCCAAAATACGTCCAATTGCAGAGAAGTCTGGAATCTGTAAAATTCGTCCCCCAACAGTGAGTACTTGCCCATATCTAGATTGTTCTGTTCAAAACTGATTGGGATAACAGGACCTTTGTTTGTTTTTGTTCTTGACCTCAAACGTTGTTTAAACCAGAGTTTAGCTCTGTCTAAGTTTCCTTGTATTTTATAGATTGTCAGCTTTAGCTTTTGTTTTCTGCTGAGAGTGACGTGACGTTAACGTGACGTTAATTTTTAAGATTTAAACTTACAAGTAAATTTTTGTCATTGCTCCTAAATAGGACTGGCAACCACCATTTTCAGTTGAGCTGGACACCTTTCGCTTTACACCTCGCATCCAGAGGCTTAATGAGTTGGAGGTAAGTTATGCGCGCGCACACACACACACACACAGTTATTAAAGTTATAAACCAGGGCATGATTCATTCTCAAATATCAGATGATTGCATTGATGTTTTGTAATTGTTTGGTACTAGAAACACTGAATGGTCTTCTGCTTCAGATTTCTGTGACAGCAGAGGTCGCGCTATGTATCATGTTGCTGAAAAACATAACTACAGGAGCACATTCAACATTATGTTTTGGGCTTTTTAATAACAAATTTGGAATTTGACTTGTGTAGGGTTTCTCAAAGCAATATTTATTTATTAATCTTTATGTAACCAGTCAAAGTCCACTGAAATCACAGATCTCTTTTGCCAGGACCTGAAAGCAGCCTAACATGCATGTTTTGGGACTTCTAGAAAAAGCTAGGATTTCTTTCACACCGAGTGTGTTGTGGCTTGTTGTCCTAAAAGGTGGGCAGTTGTGTACTTGCCCATGTGTTTGTTTGTTTGTTTATCTGTTAGTAAAATATCATGAACCACAACATGGATAATAAACATCTACAACTGATTTACTTCTGGAGTCTACCCAATTCAAGAAGACTACTACAACTAACTCACCTTAGAAAATGCCATATTAACTTTAAGTCGGTCCGTTTTACAGATATGAAGCTAAAATTCGATGTGGTAGTAGCTGAGAGTCAATCACATCATATACTTTAGGCTCATTCACAAGACTCCTGCTGACACGTCTTCTCCACACCTCGGTTCATTCAGAAGACACACGGAGGTGGAGGGCGTGGACTGAAACCCAACTTCTTTAGCGCATCTTTACCTCTGAGCGAGGTAGTAACAGGCCCGTAACTGTCGACATCTGAAAAGATGGGCTGGCTTTGCGGCTCCAACTGATTAGAATAATGTGACGAAGTGTTGATTGACGTTTTCGACGACAACTAGCTATGGGATGGAGAAGTCAAAACACTATAGCTGGACTCCTTTCAGATTATAACTTTGAGTGTGTTTTTTCCTCAAACAAGCGTTTTTTGTTCGTTTGTTTTTTTTACCCTTGCAAACTGAGGCAATTCCTAGACCCACAAGCTCCTTGATTTATGTGCAGAGGATAAAATGCTGCAACTTTGCATGTAACATAAACATCTTGCACAACATAAGGATAGTCGCTACATCTCATTCGTTCGCCCTGTCTTTGGAAATGTTATAATAAAGATGTCTGTCCCTCATATAATACGTGGAGCAACACGTCAGAGCAGATAAGGTTTTCCCCATGCTTCTTTTGATCCAGCACTGCTTGCTGTACTATGAAAGCTCATTTGAACGCTGTAAGGGAGCGGATCCATTGGCAACTTATGAATTGCCAGGCGGAGCATAAACACGAAATGGGCTGTGCGGACATTTCACAGAACTGTCCTCAGAAAGATTCTTCTGAGTGCTAACGGAAAGCACCAGGTTGATGATTAATGATGTCATGCAAGAAGATGAACAATATTCGTTCAACCTGTATTTATACAGGTTAATCCCATTGAGACTCGGGGACTCATTTACAAGAGAGACGTGGTTTTAACAAAGAGTGACAACAACAGTAGACAATCATAAAGGAAAGTGCATAAATTGAGAAGAACAAGTGAAAGAAAATGGTATTAAAAAAAACAAAACAAAAACCACTAGGTTGTAAGACGATGTAGAAAACTACAAACAGGGACGTCTTCTTGGGTTTTTGCCAAGAACTTAGCAGATGTTTGAAGCCACTTATAGAGGTCAAGGTCGAGAACTTCAGATCTTTTTTCAAGATATTCCGGGAAACAGGAGCAGAGTAGGAGAAGACCCTTTTGCCTAGTTCAGTCCTCACTGAGGGAACACTGCAGGTAATAATGTCCTGAGAGCGCACGCTGTAGCTGCGCTCACGCAGAGACATGTAGGAGGAGATGTATGAAGGCAGCAGACCAAGAAGTGATTTAAAGATGAAAATGTACCAGTGAGAGAGTCTGCGTGAAGTTAATGATGTCCAGTTAACCAGTGAATACAGGGTGCAGTGGTGGGTACGATAATTATGGTAGGAATATGCATTCCTTTAAGAAATACAGGTTTTGTTATGTGTATTATCTTAAGAGTGTAAGTAAGAATTCATGCTTCACTTTGTAAAATTTAAAGAATTAATTTTTTTTGTTTGCACATTGTGTTAAAATTTTACTGTTGGGTTCATAAAAACAACAATGCTTTTTTTTTTTTTTTTTTAATTGGGATTGCAAAATAAAATAAAAAACTTGCATAAAAGCTTTGTTTTTGCTGCATTGCAGCTCTACAGAAATGTCTAGCCTAAACTAAACATCAAATGTAATAACTATTGTACTTTTCATGTTTACAACTGCAGATGAAAGTATCGGTGCAACACCATTACTGTACTGTGTCAGAAACAAACAGAAATAGTTGTTGGGACATTTTAGTACTTATGTTACTTTCTTCATATTCTAATTTTAGGCTGAGACCAGAGTAAAGCTCAATTATTTGGACCGCATCGCCAGATTTTGGGAGATTCAAGGGTCTTCTTTAAAAATCCCACATATTGAAAGGCGAATTGTTGATCTTTACAGCCTGTCAAAGGTAGGTAAAATGAAATATGTTGAAACTACTTTTAAAAAATGTTTTTTGTTGCCAAAATTATAACAACATAGGTTTGTGTTCCAGAATGTGACAGATGAGGGGGGGTTTGAGATGGTCTGTAAGGAGCGGCGCTGGGCTCGTATAGCTCAGAGGCTTGGCTACCCTCCAGGCAAGAACGTTGGCTCTCTCCTGCGCTCACACTATGAGAGGATTGTCTACCCATTTGAAATGTTCCAGTCTGGGGCCAGCCTTCTGGTATTTCTCTACACTTTCCTGTCTCATCTTTTTGTTTCAGCACAATAGATCAAATTATTTTCAGAACAAGTGTAAAGAGAGCGTTTCAGTCTTCATACTTCATACAATGTATTTTAAAGTCTTTTATGTTTGATAGGTTTTCATAGAAACTTGTTAATTTGTCTAATTTCTAGCATTACAAGCCGAAGCACTACGATGGTGAAGATGTGGATAAAGAGTACAAGCCTCACTCGATCCCGTTGAGACAGTCTGTGCAGCCGTCCAAAATGAGCAGTTATGGACGCAGAGCGAACCGGTGCCAGCCTGATGTGAGTCAGAACACACCCTTACCTCCCATCAGTCTGTTGACTATAACATCTGTAAAACAGAACGTCTAAATGGAAGAGTATTTTCTGCACATATACATTTTTAGTTTATGTGCCTGTCTGAACATGAATTTCTTTCATCAGGCACAATGTGACAAATTTAAGACATGTCCTGAAAAGTAATTAACCAGCAAAGCAACTGGTGTGAAAAATAATTTGTATTTAGCAATAAGAAATAAGAGATTTAATTTTTTTAAAGTTGAACCTAGGGATTTGTTGATTAGATTTTAGTTGTTAATGGTAATATTACATGAAGTACTTGACTGGCCAGACATGTTAGACATACAGTGGTGCTTGGAAGTTTATGAAGCCTTTATAATTTTCTATATTTCTGCTCAAATCTGACCTAAAACACCTTCAGATTTTCACACAAGTCTTAAAAGTAGATAAAGAGAACCCAGTTAAACAATGAGACAAAAAAATTATAATTGGTCATTTATTTATTGATGAAAATGATCCAATTTACATATTTGTTAGTGGCAAATGTTCAAGGTGACTTTGTCATTCGCGTTACATTTTGTTCCTGAGGTGGAACACAATTGTGTACACAGGGTCCCAGTTACACTCAGAAATGGCAAAAAATATAAAGTATATAAAAAACAGTATACAGGGATCTAAGATATACACTAAACAAATCATAATAAAAAAAAGTATGTGAACCTCTAGGATTATCAGTTAATTTGAAGGTGAAATTAGAGTCAGGTGTTTTCAATCAATGTGATGATGATCAGGTGTGAGTTGATTTAAAGAACAGGATCTATCAAAGTCTGCTCTTCACAACATGCTTGTGGAAGTGGATCATGTCAGGAACAAAGGAGAAAAAGAGTTGTTGATGCTCATCAGGCTGGAAAAAGTTACAAAACCATCTGTAAAGAGTTTGGACTCCACCGATCCACAGACAGACAGATTGCGTACAAATGGAGGAAATTCAAGTCCATTGTTACCCTCCCCAGGAGTGGTGGACCAACAAAGATCACTCCAAGAACAAGGTGTGGAATAGTCAGCGAGGTCACAAAGGACCCAGGGTATCTTCTAATCAACTGAAGGCCTCTCTCACATTGACTGATATTAATGTTCTTGAGTCCACCATCAGGAGAACTCTGAACAACAATGGTGGTCATGGCACAGTTGAAGGAGGAAGTCACTGCTCTCCAAAAAGAACATTGCTGCTCCTCTACAGTTTGCTAAAGATCACGTGGACAAACCAGAAGACTGTTGGAAGAATGTTTTGTGGACAGATGAGACCAAAGTTGAACTTTTTGGTTTAAATGAAAAATGTTATGTTTGGAAAAAAGGAAAACTCTGCATTCCTGCACAAGAACCTTATCCCATCTGTGAACCATGGTGGTGGTAGTGTCATGGTTTGGGTCCGTTTTCCTGCATCTGGGCCAGGACAGCTTGCCATCATTGATGGAACAATGAATTCTGAATTATATATTATTATATATATAATTATATTGCACCAGATACTGAAAGCTAAGGTTCATTCTTTTGCCACTCGCAAATATGTAATACTGGATCATTTTCCTCAATAAATAAATAACCAAGTATGATATTTTTGTCTCATTTGTTTAACTGGGTTCTCTTTATCTACTTTTAGAACTTGGGTGGAAATCTGAAGATGTTTTAGATCATATTTATGCAGATATTTAAAATTTTTAAAAGGTTCACTAACTTTTAAGCACCATTGTAATGTCACACGCGAGCTTCCTGTTTGACGGCACACACTCGTTTGGCTTCACACGACTCTGCTCAGTCATCGTGACCGACCAAAGGTGAAGAGTGGCACTTTAAGGAGAATGTCTTTTTTCCATCTATTAAAACACCAGTTGTGTGAAAGGTTTTTTTTTTTTTTGTTTGTTTTTTTACTGAACAGTACCAAAGTCATTCAGCTGAACAATAATGGTTAAAGAAGTCAAATAATTTTTTAGATATTTTTACTGCACAAGTCAAGAAGTTGCTTTTAGTTCAAACTCAATTAAATGATGATAAGTAAAGGTCATACCAACAGTTTGCATTACACGTTTTCTAAAAGCCCTAATCTGGAGACCATGCTGTCACGTTAACCTTTTTTTTTACCTTTTCTCTGTGCACATGTGCATCAGTCATATGAAAGTGTTTACTTTCATATAAGAGGTGACCGTGCACTCAGCGCTTCCCAGCTTGCTTATTCTCCATCCTGTTACGTTGCTCTGCTTACTCCTGCTGTTTTGTTGCTTTCAGCTCTGTGGATTTTTTGTTTGCTTTGTTTTCTGTGCTTTTTTCCCACTAATGGAAATAGATTAGTGGATATTTTACAAGTCAAATATTGTGACTTTTTTCCTTTATTGTTAAAGTGTAAGCACAACTTTTCAACCATCTTATCACTTTTTAGTTTTACACATAGACAAAGGCTTGGTTTTTATTTAGCCCCTCTTTTTTATGAAGAACTTTTTTTTTTATTCATCTACATTATTTTTTTGGGTTACTCCTACTAATTGTGATTAGTCTTATAAGCTAACTTAGTGCTCCTGCAGCTGAGAAGCTGCTGCTTTTGTCACGTCCCAAACAAGCGGTCAACTCCCTCAACGGGACAGAAACAAAAAGATGAACATTTCCAATTAACACAAATATTTTAAACCCATTCATTCTACACTTAAATGTACTCCTTTAATGAGTATTTTGCAGACAAAGCATTCCCTAATTACGAAAAACAAAATTCATTTTTCAAACACGTCACCTGCTAGTTCTTGTGGCTGAAATTGTAAAGGTCAGTACTGAGAACAGTGCAGAACATGGGTTGTCCTAAACACAAAGTTTATATTAATACCAGTTTTTTTGTATTTTATCAGCGAAACTTGATCTTCAGTGATTTGGGAGCCAATTCTGTCAAAACTGCAAACTGAACAGAAATATGTCTGAATGAATAAATAATTATTAAAAATAGAGGATATGGTGTACAGATTCGGTAGGTTTCAGATATGTTTTTACTGGCTGATCTTTCCAGGCTTCTCTCCCCTCCCCTCTTCATTTTTCCTCTTGTCGTAGTTTATTGTTGCTGTTATTGTCTCCCCTTGCAGGGTCCAGAGGATCTGGCCCCCCATCCTCTCACCACTGGCTCTCAACTCATCTCTGCGGTACTGCCTCTTGAGCATAAGAGTTCACTTTCTGCCCCCACTTGTTTCCTTCTGCTCTTTCTCGCCCACCATCCTTCTAATAAAATCGTCTTTAGGTTCCACTTTTTCCATTAATTACTAAAACATTTTCATCCACATTCAGTCGTACCCTCTGCTTACCTTAGCGTTGGATTGATGTGGCAGATGTGCTGTTAAAAAGTGGCTTCTGTGGCATAACATTATCGATCAGTTCTGAAATCATGATCAGTCATTTATGGGTCTTCCAGTGAACATAAAGGGATATTTTCCTCAACCTTTTCTTTTATTTAAAATGTTTGCAGAATGATATAACCATACAGTTGTTTAGGAAAATATCTCCTCTTCTATGTTGGAAGGTGTCTCACAACTTTGTTGTTGTTTAGAGACGTGTCTCTAAAAGGGGAAAAGTTATTTTTCAGCATGAATCTTAATACAGTAAACTCTGTATGTACCAGTGAGATTTATTTTCCTGTATGACAGATTAACTATACATTTGAAGAAATCAGTTCAACTACAGTTGACAACTTCTGCAGTGTAGTTCTGGGGCTCATGCACTTCCTTTCACTCGTAATTTTTCTGTGGTAGTTCTCGTCTTCTGCTTACTTGGTGAAGCATCCGTCATTCTTCCCTTCTTCTGTTTTGACTTGCCCTCTGTTCACTACAAAAGCTAACAGTGCGGCTGCATGCATTCTCTTTTGAGTGCACAAACATACAAGCATCAAATATGTTTGAATTGTTAACACCACAGATACCTAAACTTTATGGCGCACTGAAAAGTTGTATATCTCAAAAGCTTTTGGTTATTTTTCTGTTGTTGTTAGACACCAAGTCTCTACAGATTTGCTTGTTTAAAGCCAACCTATTTTGTGATTTTTTTTTATTTTTTTTTAATCATACTGCACCTCTTTCATCTACTTTGATTTCCACTGACAAAAAACTGAGGCTTGTTCTGTTTGCAGAGTGTTTAGAGCGAATAATAAAATGATTGCAGCTGCATGACAGAAGGGCTTGCAACTGCAAACGGGTAGAAAAAGTCAAAACAATAGTTTTTATTCAGCCCTTTTAAAAAAAGTATTGAACAGCATCTTTTATGGCATCGGATGTGTTTAGTTTTGGTGTGACTGTCTCATTACTTTGGTCGTTGAAAACAAACAGGCATTTCTGATGGCACTGCAGGTTTTGGTCTGTAGCACATCCTCCACTGGCTCCAAATACTTCAGCTAGTGCTGCTGCATATTCTGCATATATATATATATATATATATATATATATATATATATATATATATTCTGCAACTGCATATTCTAGTTGAATGAGAACAGCTCATCCTTCCATGAATACATATTTTCTGTTTTTCTGTTCATGGCAAGAATAACAGCATTCTGAATACACCACTTCATATTCAGAATGATTAGAATATTCAGGTTTAGCCATTTTGATGCATTTCCACATATGTGTGAAACAACAGGTCTATAAGCATGTTGTTATTGTGTGTTTGGGAGAAGCCAAGCAGGATAAATGAAAATGACATGCCTTTAAAGATGTTGTTTTTTTACTTTTAACAACCAAGTCCCAAATCTTGGAATATTTGTCAAGTGACTGCAGATGGACGCCTAAAATGTGCCAAAGCTGTGTTGCTGTGCTGTTTTTATTTTATTTGGTCCAATTACACACGAACAACATTAACCAGATGTTTATTTAAAAAATGAACTAAATGATTCAGATAAAGTTTGAACGGTACTGTGGTTGCATCAGCTGGTGACTGTTTTCTGGTGGTTGCTGCTAATCTTTCAGTTGTCACTGTGATATAGTTAACATTTTCTTACTTTCACTCCTTGCCTAACCCTTTTCTGTGCTGCATTGTTATGCTCTTATAACTTTTTGTTCTGCACTTGGCCTAGATTGTTGCTTCGCTCTGTGTGCTTAGGAGAGTAGCTGCAACCCATCTGTGCCCTCATGATTTTAAAGACACTGTCCATTATCCACAGCCTGAACCTACAGAGGAGGACATCGAGAAGAACCCCGAGTTGAAGAAATTACAGATCTACGGTGCGGGGCCTAAGATGATGGGACTTGGGCTGGTGGCGAGGGACAAAGGTCTTAGGAAGAAAGGTAACTGATTTCTATTTTCCCTGACACATACAGTCATATAAAGAAAGTTGTTTGTATGTCCAGACACTGGAAATAAATCTAACCAATTTTTAAAATGAAGAGAAACGAGCTGAGGTGAACACTGACTAGTTGTCTTTATCAATCACATTGTTCTGATTCTTCTGAACAATGCTCATCGCATTGAGGTTTGTTGGAACTGGTGTGTGCACAATCATGGTAAATCAGTTACTTCTTGATTGGACATGTACAGCAGCTGAACGTTGCATGATTATTTTGAGACTTTATTTGGATGAAGCTTCAGCAGATGACCTATTTGTCTCAAAGTATGCAGACTTTATCATCGCAGGGTTCTCAGGTCCTGAAGTGGTTTTTCTTTTGGCTGCCATATTAACCCATTATAGCTCAGTCCTTTCTTCATTTACTCTCATGAACATTATGTAACCTGCTGACTCAGGTCTGTAGACTCTGAGATTTAGCTGTTTGTTTATGGGATTTATCAAAGTATTACATAATAATCTGACATTGGAGTGACCTTGCTGGGATGTCCTCTACTGGGACAATTAGAAAATATAAACTCCATATTCTTTGGAGATGCCTTCAATTCTCCAGAATGATGATTAATAACGATTTCTTCTCTAAGCTCGTTTCTGTTTTCCACTTTGACGTTCACACACACCTCCATGCTCCCGAGCAGCAGCAGCTCCTTGTACAGAGGAGCTCACACTTTCTGATACTCATTGAAATGTTCGTATTGTAGGCAGAACTTTGTCACTAATTACCTTCTTTTATTTCTCTGAAACCAGTAAGAGTTTACTTAGATTTTTATTAGTTGCTTCTGTGTGGTGGCACAGTTTTTAATGAAGAATAATCTGATGCAATGTACCATGTGTTGTTCTCAGAGGTTGCATTATGTGACTGTTACAAAAATCTCTGTAATCTTTTATTTTTTGTATTTTTTGAGTGTGATGTTGCCACAAGTACTGTTCCTGTCAATACACTGCTGTTGGTGTTTCAGGATTAAAAGTCTTAACTCTTCATTTTAGATTTCTTTTGTACATAGTTATAGTTTTTGTAATGTGATTCACACAAACGCAAACTTTTCATTCAGAATAAAAAGAGGAGCATGGTCTTAACTTCTTTAAAAACTGAAACAGCTGCCATTTATGTATGCTGCTGACATTTAAATAAATAAAACTGATGGGTCATAATTACCAGAATGGTGGCTAATCAAAGGCCAGCTCATGCACTTTAATTAGAACAAATTCTGATCTTTGAGCACATTGTGTTGATGACATTTGCATTAAAGATTGAAATTAAGTGGGTGTAATTTGTTTTTGCTATGGCTGTGAATTTAGTTTTGTAAAATCTGTAAACTACAACTTTCTATAACCTTAACTTTCTGTAACCTTAAAATCTGATGAAAAACACAATTTAGAGCAAATATTTCAAATTCCCTTGAACTCGGTCTTTGCCTTTATCGTTGTGAAAATTAGAAACTTTATGGCTTAAACGTAAACAACTTTTCATCTCAACTTCTCATAATATAATGTCTGAACACGTTTCGCTTATTTTAGATGAGCTGCCTCAAACTGTTACCATCAAAGACAACGAGTTGCCCGCCTCCAGTGAGTCACTGATCAAATCTGAGCCACTGGAGCCTGAAGAGAGACTGGCTGATGGAGGCACATCCAGCCCACAGCTGCCTCATCACAGTGCTACAGTAAAGATGGAGGTGAAGAAAGAAGAGCTGCACGGTGAGAATGACAAGAATGGAGATGATCCAGACGGATCCAAAATGACCATGAGGCTAAGACGCAACCCCAACAACCCACAGTGTGTAAGTACAAGAAGAAATGTTTAGACGCATCTAAAACTCTACATCTGAGTATTTGAACAAGTGAATGTTTGATTTCTGTCACCTAAATGAGCTGCGTTTGAGTTTTTATTTTCTTACCTTCAAAGGTGGATTCTTTTATCTGCCGGATGTGTGGTCGTGGAGATGACGACGACAAACTTCTTCAGTGTGACAGTTGTGAGGAGAACTATCACTCTTACTGTCTGCTGCCCCCCCTCTCTGATATCCCCAAATCCAACTGGCGATGCCCAAAATGTGTCGCAGAAGTGAGTAGATGTTTGAGCGCTTTGTCTCTTAAACGCCAAGACTCGTCTTTTCACTTTTCATACGCCTGTCGAAGGACGTGTTATCTCCGTCCGTACATCTGTAAACTTTATATTGTCCTGTCCTTAAGTTTTTAATGAAACTTCATAAAACATGCACCATCAATAGACAAAGTGTCGCATACACTTGTTATGATCCCAGCTCCTAGGTCATGGTCACAAATCAAGGTCAAATGTTATACAAGCTTATTGCTCGTCTCTTCTATAGATTGTTGGCTTGCTGTCTAATAGTTGGTCGACGGGCGTATAACTTTGTTTTTATTAGGAGTGCAAGAAACCTTCAGAGGCATTCGGCTTTGAACAAGCGACGAGAGAGTACTCTCTGCAGAGCTTTGGAGAAATGGCAGATGCCTTCAAAGCAGATTACTTCAACATGCCTGTCCATGTAAGTGCACATCAACAAGAATATTTGTTGATTACATACCATTAAGTGAAGATATTGTTAGAGATGAAGACTAAGGACTAATCTGTGGCTTTTTTTATTTGTGTAGATGGTTCCCCCTGAGCTCGTGGAGAGAGAGTTCTGGAGGTTAGTGAGCTGTATTGAAGAAGACGTGACTGTCGAGTATGGAGCAGACATACACTCTAAAGAGTTTGGCAGTGGCTTTCCAATGATGAACGGGAAAAAGAATCTCACAAAGGAAGAGGAGGTACGCATGCAAAATGTCTCTTCCATTAACAGATGTGGTTGATTCCTGATGCTAACCAGAGGAAGGTTTACATCCAATAATTGCTTTTTGAGAGAATTATTAAAACTGTCCAGTGGTTCAGGAGATACTTTGTGAGCAGATGGTTGAACACAACCAAAGAACTTCCATATTGTCCCACTTCTCATGGTGACAGGTGATGACACAAAATGTGCATTAGTTTATTGTTACAATGAGTTAATAGCTCTCACTGCACATTTGATCTATATTTAACTCTTTAATATCAGAACTGACTTGTTTCTGGTTATTCCTTAAAAAAAATATCTCAAATACTGACAAAACCAACATGTACCATTAAGATGTCAAAAATACAAAGTATCTTTTTGGCCACTTTCCTTAATCTCAGCTAGGACTACCGTACTTGTCGCCGTACACGTCGCTTTGCCGTATAAGTTGCATCACCGTCACCGCTGACCACCCGGAAACATGGGTCAGTGAGCCAAAAATTGATTGGCTGCCAAATGGCGGCTGCGGGAGCGTGCACGGGAGGACTTTAACAAGAATTTAACAAGATTAACACTTAAAAACAATTATTTGTTTGCTCGACATTATAGCAAAGGTGTGTCTCAGTCTAACTGTTCCTCAATAAATGCACTGAAATGGTCAAATCAGCTGCATTTCACCTGGGCGACGCAGAGAAATGCAGCTGATTTGATGTTTGCTCCAGGACTTCCAGAGCGAGACGAAGGTGGCTTGGTATGGCAAGCCAAGCGTCTCATTAATAGCCAATTTTACCTATTAATGAGATAATTTGCTTGCCATATTGCACGAGGGCCCTCTAGTGGCTGAAAATGGTATTGTTCAATATTTTCCATGTCAGAGTGAATGAAATTGTCAGATCTCAGCCAAAAGTTGGGTTATAAATATGGGGAGAAAAAAATGTATGTTAGTCACTTTGGTATATAAGTTACAGGATTTGCAAATTTATGCAAAAAGGTGTGACTTATTTGGCAAAAAATACGGTACCTAATGTTGTTTTGTGTTTTTGCTCTGGTCAGGATTATGCCCGCAGTGGCTGGAACTTGAATGTGATGCCAGTTCTGGAGCAGTCGCTCCTCTGCCACATCAATGGAGACATCTCTGGGATGAAAGTGCCGTGGCTTTACGTTGGCATGGTGTTTTCAACTTTCTGCTGGCATATTGAGGATCACTGGAGCTACTCCATCAACTACCTTCACTGGTACACTCCAGCATGTTATGTTTAGGTGTTTGCTGCATTATAAATGCTGTCATGAAGTTGATGAAGAAGCTGTGTGTATTGCATCATCTTTAGGGGAGAACCCAAAACTTGGTATGGAGTTCCCTCTGTGGCAGCTGAGCAGCTTGAGGGTGTTATGAATAAACTAACACCAGAGCTGTTTGAGTTCCAGCCTGACCTCCTGCATCAGCTGGTTACCATCATGAACCCCAATATCCTCATGGCTCACGGCGTACCGGTCAGTCCCTCGTCAGCGCACGCTCACAGAAAAACTGTTGTTTGTGCTAAAGGTTTCTTTGACTGGCTGCTTTCTTCTAATTGGCAGGTTGTACGCACGAACCAGTGTGCTGGTGAATTTGTCATCACCTTCCCCAGAGCCTACCACAGTGGCTTCAATCAGGGATATAACTTTGCAGAAGCAGTCAACTTCTGCACTGCAGATTGGGTATGTTAGTTTAGAAGACCTCCAAATAAAGATTTCACGTCCACTTTTAAAATGTTACCGCTAACATCACCCTCAACTCTCCCTGTTAGCTCCCTGCTGGCCGACACTGTATTGAGCACTATCGGCGTTTGAGGAGGTATTGTGTCTTCTCTCACGAGGAGCTCACCTGTAAAATGGCTGCCAGTCCAGAGAAACTGGATCTCAACCTGGCTGCAGCTACTCATCGGGAGATGTTCATCATTGTTCAGGAGGAGAGAAAGCTGCGCAAGAATCTGATGGAAAGGGTGAGGCATGGAAATAAATCTTAGGAGTTTGTGAGACTCTTTTATTCACCTGTAAGTAAACAGGTGTCGCACTGAGTGTGGCTCTTATTGTTGACCTATAAGAATGTGAACATTCTCTTAAAATCCTTGTTCTTGCAGGGCATTACTGAAGCAGAACGGGAGGCATTTGAGCTGCTCCCTGATGACGAGAGGCAGTGTGATAAATGTAAAACCACGTGCTTCCTGTCTGCTCTGGCCTGCTCAAACTGCCCCGAACATCTCGTGTGTCTCTATCACACTCAGGATCTGTGCAACTGCCCCACTGAAAAACTCTACCTCAGGTATTCACCTCTTGTCTAAATATGTCTTATAGCTAGCAGCCTGGACATACTAGTGCTGTTTTCAGATTGCAGGTCCACATTCTTTGCTAAACGTTTAGAAAATGTCTCTACTTTGCAGGTACAGATACACCTTGGACGAGTTGTTGGCGATGTTACATCGATTAAAGGTCCGATCCGAATCTTTTGATTCCTGGGCCAACAAAGTGAAAGAGACACTTGAACAGGAAGATGGAAACAAGATAGGTAAGTAATCATAACTGATCCCCACTATCTTTGGAAGAAAAACATGTTAATCCATGAAATGTTTCTTAAAATTTCAGAAATGTACGACCTTGAGAAGCTGAAGATGGAAGCAGCAGAAAAGAAATTTCCTGACAACGAACTTCTCAGGAAGCTGAACTCTGTTCTGATAGACATAACCTACTGCCAACAGACGAGTGCTGAGCTCCTCAATGATTCAAAAACTGGGTAAGATGCATCATAATTGGTATTTTACCTTAAGAGCTCGTTTATTTTTACTTACATTTACATTTGTTGTTTTCCAGTGAAGGCAGAATAACCTTTCAGGAGCTGAAATCTTTGGTTGAGAAAATGCAAAGCCTGCCCTGTGTTATGAACCAGTTGGAGGAAGTTCAGGTAAGAAGCTTAAATACTACAATGATGCTGGTACTTTTATATTTTAGTCTTTCAAAATCAATTAAATAGATTTAAGAAAAAAAGTCATCTAAAAATGTATTTATCTCATGTTTAAAATCTGATTTTTCAGGTGGTTTTGAGGACAGTTGAAGATTTCCAAAAACGAGCTCAAGTTCTGATCAACAATAAGGACTGGAGGAAGGACACCCCCCCACCTGAGCAGCTGCAGTCTTTATTGGAGGAAGGGGCCAAGCTGCCTGTGGTGGCTCCAGAGTGTGATTTACTTCAGGGCCTGAAGAAGCAAGGCCATTGGCTGGAGGAGGTGAGGTGCACGCTTGGCTCTGCAGGAGGAGAGAAGCACGAAGTGACACTGGATGTGTTGAGGAACCTGATGGAGGCGGGCTGCAACGTACCCCAGAGCGGGTCTGTAGAGACGGCCATGGCTGAGCTTCAAGAACTGCTCACCATTGCTGAACGGTGGGAGGAAAAGGCACAGATCTGCTTAGAACAGAGGTAAGACCCTTTAAACCACAACATGTAGCTGTATCTGTTTCAATTCTTGAACTTGAAGACAGTAAAGTGTCTTTGTGTTGCTCCTCAAGGCAAAAACATCCTCTCTCCACGTTGGAGGCCATAGTAAATGAGGCCCAGCTTATTCCTGTCAAGCTTCCCAACATCCTGGCTTTGCAGAGCTGTCTTGTACGAGCTCGGGCCTGGGTAACAGATCTGGAGGAAATACAGGTGTGTGTGTGTGTGTTGGGGGGTGGGGGGGGGCTTCTTTGTGCTTTGCTATTGAGCACTTCCTTTTCATTTCTTTGATTTACGGTAATAAAATGCCTAAATTGTGCAACGTGTTTGTGCAGAATGGGGAGCATTACCCATGTTTGGATGACCTGGAAGGCCTGGTAGCCATTGGAAGGGACCTCCCAGTTTTCATGGAAGAGTTAAGGCAGCTGGAACTGCAAGTGGCCAGTGCTCACTCTTGGAGGGACAAGGCCACCAAGACCTTCCTGAAGAAGAGCAGCCAGCACACTCTACTAGAGGCAAGTTTAAAAAAATAAAACAGGAGTCTGTATTTAAGCTTATTTAAGTCTAGTTCTGCATAATTCATGTCTGTACGTCATGCAGCGCTAATAGACACATTGTGTATTGGACCCTCATGAAGCTCGTGTTTACCTCCTGCAGGTGTTGTGTCCGTGTGCAAAAAGGAGAACTAAGCGAGTCGAGACAGAGCCCTTAGAAGATGATTCAGATACAAACACGCTGGGGCTCTCCGCTCAGGCCTTAAGGGACCCTGCAGCTATTGTAAGAGAACATGGATTCAAAAGCTTAAAAAAAAAATTTAAAAACCTTAAATCTCATTTTTGTCTTTGTAGATGTTTGTTTTATGCATTAACAGCAACGTTAATTTAATTGTTTACTTTGTTTTAGGTGATGGCGTTCAAAGAAGGAGAACACCAGGAGAAGGAGGCCCTGCTGAGGTTACAGGAAGTGAATATGTGCAAATCTGGACTGAGCACAGCGAGCTGCAAAGAGAACAGGCAGTGGCATGAGGCCATGGAGACGGACACATCAGGCCACTGTGAGAACTCTGTAACAGAGAATGGAAACGGTGACCACAGCCGGCCCAGCCCTCAGTCTGTGTGTGCTGGGCAGACTCGTGCTCCTCAGCTCCGCTGCCATCTTTGTAAGGACTGGTTCCATGGTGGCTGTGTTCCTTGTCCTCCTCTGCTGCCCTCTTCTGGACCACCAATCAACTACCTTTGTTGGTGGGACTGGGACACCCGCTTCTTGTGTCCTCAGTGCCAGCGGTCGCGACGCCCACGTCTGGAGACTATCCTGGCTTTACTGGTAGCCCTGCAGAGGTTACCTGTGCGTCTGCCTGAAGGAGAGGCTCTGCAGTGTCTCACAGAGAGGGCCATCACCTGGCAGGGCCGAGCCAAAGAGGCGCTGGAGACGCCTGAGCTGCAGCAGGTGCTGCAGAAGCTGCAGGAACTCAAAGAAACCCTCCACTATAACGCTGAAGAAGAGGAAGAGGAGAAGAAGGAGCCACAGGGGAATTCAGTTATTATTTTATCAGACTCCGAGGGAGGGGAGGGAGACGATGAAGTCATCGACCTAACAGAGGAGTCACCTAAAAAGAAAGTAAAGGAGAACAGTGCCACTCAGGTAAGTGTTGTTTACTTGTTTACCAAACATGGGCAGTTTAACAGGACAGCAGCTGACCTCGAGTCTGTCGTGTCTGTTTAGGCCGAATGTCAAAATGGTGTCGGCAAGAAGTCAAATGTTACAAGTAAGGCTGCGTGCTGATCTCATAACAACATGAACTGTGAGCTTTACCTCAGCCAGAAGCATTTACTCTGTCTGCTGCTTGCAGGTGTGAGCTCTCTGCTGGCCCTGCTGCCTTTACTGAAAGGCCACGTGGTGGAGCTTTCCCCAGCCACCAGGGTGCAGCTGGAGGAGCTGCAGCTAGAGGGCGACCTACTGGAGGTGTCTTTGGATCAAACCCAGACCATCTACAGAGTCCTGCACGCAGCCTCCGACCCACCCAGAGAGACTCTGCACACACTCATCCAGGTCAGGCCAATGAACTCTGATCCTTTTTCTTTTAGTTATGCACCAAACTGCAAAAAGAAAAAAAAAAACATGCCAGAGCCGTTTATTTGACAAATCTGTCATAAAATATCTGCGTTACAGAGTGACCTAATGTTTTTAAATGTGTTGTTTGTGGTTTTATCATCTGGATTGCTGACGTCATCATCTTCACTCAGATTGAGCTGGATGAGCAGAGGCGGACGAGACGAGCACGACCCAAAGAGTCCAAAAGGAAGAGGAAAGGCCACAGAGGAAGCAGCGGAGAAGGGTCAGGAGAAAAGTCACTTGATGTCTCGCAGTCAAAGAAAACCTGTCCCCTCACTCTCAGCCCCTCTGCTCCCCTCCCCGTCAAGACCCATCCAGAGGTGATACTTTTTTTTCCTTCAGGAAGTACTTCTAATAGTACTTTAACAAAAAGTACAGTTCTTCAATGTGTTACTTTTTGTGCAGATGTTGTGATCCAATCGAGGCCGGAGCTGCGTTCAAATGGATTAATCTAAGAAATTCAAGGAGCAGAACTTTCTGTGCAGCAAGATGGAGTGGGTTTCTAAAGATGCAGGACATCCGTTCCTCCCTACACCCATCTCTTCATCCTCCATCCATTTGATCAGACACGAAACAGAGACATGACTCTTCAGCTACACTCCATCGTCATTAAAACAGTATTTCACTCTGTTTTTTTCCCGACTTACCGTCTTCCCAACGTTTTCCTCCACCTTCCTCGGATCCTGTGAACATTGTGAGGCTGCGCTGGACTGATGTAAGGCTTGTCGTTAAAGGAACGTCTTTGACTTGGTCTCTGAGGTCCGTCTGCTTTTTGTACTCCTCGTGTTAAACGCTCGCTGACCTGAAGACTCGGGAGCAGCAGCTTCACCTCCTCCAGCTCACCTGTTCTTTATAAGCTATGAGTGCAGCGCAGGATTTTACCTGCTGGCCCGAGACAAGACGCTCCACAGTTACACCTGCATCTTTGAGTTGTATTTATCTTGAGTTCGAAGCCGTTTTCACGGGGGCGTCCATTTTCATGAATAAAGTCCATTTTGGGAAGTGTTAAAAACGGTCGTTAATGTTTTTGGTGCTACTTTCCTAAAATGAAAATATGTACCTCTTGGCATTGTCTTCATTCTTCTCCCTCAGTTCTGATGATTTTAGATCTCGTTCATCTTTCTCCGTTTGATCCACCCCCCCACCCCCATATTATATTTGGAAATTAACACAACTTTACTGTAACTCATGTCTCGTTTCATTTTGTTTATGGGCTCAGATGACTATATTATTATTATTGTTGTTGATATTACAGACACAAAGCTGTCGTGAGGTTGTGTATAAAATTTTCATTTTACTGTTGCCTTTTTTTCTTTTCACACTTGTTAGAAAAATAAAAGTTTAGAATTGTTTAGGACAAATGGACTTATTTCCAACTTTCTTGTGATGATTTGACAGTTTTATTATATTGAACTATTAAATGAACTAATGAACGTTGTTTCTATAATCACAGCATTTATTAAAAAAAAGCTTAAATGTAAAATTTCAGACACATCACAATTACAATGACAATGTTTTTTTGTTGTTTTGACAGAATCATAGACAACCACAGTTAGAGTAAAAGTTTTCAGTATCGAAGTGAAAAACATTCAGTCTCGATATCAAACATGCACGAAAGCCAAATAAAAAGCAGCTTTTCTTCAACAGTTCTTACAAACATGGTAACTCCGTGTAGTTTGCGTTCAGAGGAGCGAAGAATTGGACGACTGTTCGCTGTGGACCTTATTAGGCCGTTTATTGTCATTATTGATGATGAAAAGTATTGGTCGCCCCTTATAATTACTGGTCTGAGTGGAAGTAAATGTATTTCTGAAGTCTTTAATATTAACTGATGCACTGGTCTATGTAAATCTTATTTTAGTAAAATCATTCTTAAAAGAACTGCCATGTATAAAAATGCTACTGAACTCTTATCCAAGAAACATCATTTCCAGCAGGTGTTATCAGGTAATTACCTTCTTATCATAGTTTAAACACGTTGAAAGAAGTAGACAACACTCAGTGACCCAACCAGCTCTTACTGCTTTTTATTTTTACTTATTGCTAAAAAAAAAGGAAAGTATTAAATAAAGCTGCTGTGCTTTGCAGTTGTTCTCCGTCCCTCTTTGTTTACGGTAGTTACTTTAAAAATGGTCACGCGCTGTCTGAATAAAAGGCACGACTCCGCTCTATGGAAACTGGCAGCTGTGTTCTGGTTCTGAAAACAAAGATGTTTGCAGAGGAACATTTCAACTGTCGTGCAGGAAAAGGAAGAAGCTGCTGATTTACAGATGTGGTTAAATTTGTTTGCACCCTTTCTTTAAAGACTACAAAACCCACAATGGTCTGAAATAACTGGAAACTGACAAAAGTTAAAAGAAAAAACTTTGAAAATCAACTTATTGTCACTCATTGCTTTTGGGTTGTATTTAACATAAACTAATAATAAAATCCTCACAAAAAGAATGGTACCCCTAAAAAAGATTTAAAGTGATTTGCCAGTAGGGACGTGTTAAACTGTGTGTCCTGTATTCAGTCTCACACATGTCACCAGTCTGTACCAGTCTAAATAAATAACATAAACAACAATACCATAATAATAATTTAAAATAAATAAAGTGCCTATTTAAAGGCTGACCGGTAGTCACAGGGCTGTTTGTTATCATGGTGTGCACCACACTGAACATGGACCACAGAACGCTGAGGACAGAGTTGTGTCAGGAGCTTTAAAGGAAAAGGAGCAACTTGTTAAAGGTAACGTCTGTAAGATCATCTCTGAGCAGCTTGATGTTCTACAGAACTTTAAGATCCACAGGACCTGGACGAGTCCACAAGAGGACCACTGATGACGAGTTGAAGAGACCAATAATATAAATGGTAACAAAGAGTCCAGAACAACTTGTAAATAAATCAGAGGTGAACTACAAGCTCAGCTCAGAGTTCATCAGTGTGAGATCACACCAGCCTCCACTGTCTGAGCCAACGTGGACTGAATGGAAGACGACTGAGGAGAAAACTGCATCAAAAGACAAATTTGTCTAAATTCACGTTTCCCGGCCACAAAACTGAGAGAATGTCCTCTGGACAGATGAGACAAAACTGGAGCTTTTTTGCAACAAGTCACATCAGCTACATGTTTACAGACACAGAATGAATCCTACAACAACAAAAAAGACTACCTACAGTGAAACGTGTGTGTGTGTGTGGGGGGGGGGGGGGGGGGGGGACAGTATGTGTGCTGGGGGGACAG